GAAATTACAGGGGCTGCGCCTTTAACCACCATCCTCTCGGCACACGTGGAGACAAAGGCGGTGGGGTGGTATTTTGTGTGCTGGGCGCCGTGGGTGAGGGTTGGGAAATTGCAGGGGCTGCGCCTTTAACCACCATCCTCTCGGCACACGTGGAGACAAAGGCGGTGGGGTGGTATTTTGTGTGCTGGGCGCCGTGGGTGAGCGTTGGGAAATTGCAGGGGCTGCGCCTTTAACCACCATCCTCTCGGCACACGTGGAGACAAAGGCGGTGGTATTTTGGGTGCCGACGCCGTGAGTGAGCAGTGGAAATTGCCGCACAGAGGACACTGTTTGAAGGAATATTTACAGGAAGTGGAGACAGCCACGAGTTTCTCTGTGCCCCCCCCCAACCCCCCCTATAAACACACCAGAGACAAAGATCACCCGTGTAGCCTTGGCAGTGCGGTCGGGGCAAGTCGCTGTTCGCGAGTTAGCAGCAGAAGCACCGATGGAATTGGCTTGCACGCTGCGCAAAAAGGGCAGCACTACGGCCGGCCGCCTTTGTCTCCCCAGTGCTGATGTTTGTACAATTATCGCACCAGGTACTCGTTGAAGGTTGAGTTTAATCTAGAGGGAGGCGCCGCGGTGGCTTGGAGATGTTAACTACCTCGCCTGGTATGCAGGAAGCCGTGAGTTCGATCCCGACTCTGACGATGCCTGCTGCTCTATATTTGGAGTTTGCGTGTCTCTCTCTCTCTCATCATCATCATCATCACGGTGGCTAGGAGATGTTAACTACCTCGCCTGGTATACAGGAGGTCGTGGGTTCGATCCCGACCCTGACGCCTGCTGTATACTTGGAGTTTGAGTCTCTCTCTCATCATCATCACCACGGTGGCGAGGAGATGTTAACTACCTCGCCTGGTGTACAGGAGGTCGTGGGTTCGATCCCGACCCTATCGCCTGCTGCTGTATATTTGGAGTGTGCGTGCCTCTCTCTCTCTCTCCGTGGTCGCGTGGATTTTTCCCCCGTGTCCTCCTGTTTCCCCCTCCACATTCGGAATCAACGTCACGCGTTCAGAGTGTTTGTCTGCATTACATGTCCACGTGACGACGATCAGCCGCTTTGTTGGGAGCTATAATTTGTGGCCAGGTAAGCGTCTGAAAAAAAGATCCGTTCAGATCAGTGGGGCCTTACCTCTCAAAATAAAGTTTCGTTTTCGTTTAAAACCTCAAGGATCGTTGCTCAGATATTCGCTGTCCATGTTATCGTGGTCGTGAGCTATCATTTGTGGCCAGGTCGCGTCTGAAAAGAAAGAGCTGTTACAGCTCAGGGGGTGGCCTTACCTGGCAAAGTAAAGTTTCGTTTGAAGCTTCAAGGATCGTTGCTCAGATATTCGCTGTCCCTGTTTTTGTGGTCGTGGGCGGGACTCGAACTCGGGTTCGTGGCACGGGCGCGCTAATCGTTGCGCCACCGCTCCTGCAAGTTCGTTACAGCACCAAACGCACAGTTCTCCGTTCAGCAGTACAGAGTTGTGAGTGCCACGTGCTGTTAGCGAGCACCTATTAAGGCGGCACGACGCACACTCAGCGCATTGTGATGCAATGTTAAGGTCAGCTGACCACTCATTAGGTGAGCAAATACTAAAAAAAAATGTAGATTATAACGGTGCATTATGCAGTATAATATACTATGTTCATCATCTGTAAACATTACACGGCAAGACTCGTACCGATACGTGTGTAATGCGCGCATGTGTGTGTACTGGTGTGTGTACATTGTGTGTACTGGTGTGTGTACACAGTGTGTGTGTGTACTGGTGTGTGTACACAGTGTGTGTGTACTGGTGTGTGTACACAGTGTCTGTGTGTACTGGTGTGTGTACACAGTGTCTTTGTGTACTGGTGTGTGTACACAGTGTGTGTGTACTGGTGTGTGTACATTGTGTGTACTGGTGTGTGTACAGTGTGTGTGTGTGTACTGGTGTGAGTACATTGTGTGTGTGTGTGTACTGGTGTGTGTACACAGTGTCTGTGTGTACTGGGGTGTGTACAGTGTGTGTGTACTGGTGTGTGTACAGTGCGTGTGTGTGTGTACTGGTGTGTGTACACAGTGTCTGTGTGTACTTGTGTGTGTACAGTGTGTGTGTACTGGTGTGTGTACAGTGTGTGTGTGTACTGGTGTGAGTACATTGTGTGTGTGTGTACTGGTGTGTGTACAGTGTGTGTGTGTACTGGTGTGAGTACATTGTGTGTGTGTGTACTGGTGTGTGTACAGTGTGTGTGTGTACTGGTGTGTGTACATTGTGTGTGTGTGTGTACTGGTGTGTGTACATAGTGTGTGTGTACTGGTGTGTGTACATTGCCTGTGTGTACTGGTGTATGTACACAGTGTCTGTGTGTACTGGTGTGTGTACACAGTGTGTGTGTACTGGTGTGTGTACATAGCATGTGTGTGTGTACTGGTGTGTGTACACAGTGTGTGTGTACTGGTGTGTGTACATAGCATGTGTGTGTACTGGTGTGTGTACACAGTGTCTGTGTGTACTGGTGTGTGTACACAGTGTGTGTGTGTACTGGTGCGAGTACATTGTGTGTGTGTGTGTGTACTGGTGTGTGTACACAGTGTCTGTGTGTACTGGTGTGTGTACACAGTGTGTGTGTGTGTACTGGTGTGTATACACAGTATGTGTGTACTGGTGTGTGTACAGTGTGTGTGTGTACTGGTGTGTGTACATTGTCTGTGTGTACTGGTGTGTGTACACAGTGTGTGTACTGGTGTGTGTACACAGTATGTGTGTACTGGTGTGTGTACACAGTGTATGTACTGGTGTGTGTACACAGTGGGTGTGTGTGTACTGGTGTGTGTACACAGTGTGTGTGTGCACTGGTGTGTGTACACAGTGTGTGTACTGGTATGTGTACACAGTGTGTGTACTGGTGTGTGTACATAGTGTGTCTGTGTGTGTACTGGTGTGTGTACACAGTGTCTGCGTGTACTGGTGTGTGTACACAGTGTGTGTGTGTACTGGTGTGTGTACACAGTGTGTGTGTACTGGTGTGTGTACACAGTGGGTGTGTGTGTACTGGTGTGTGTACTGGTGTGTATGTACACGTATGATTGTGCTGTGCGTGTGTGGGGGGAGCGGTGGTGCAGCGGTTAGCGCGCTGCGCTACGAACCCGGCGGCACGGTTTTCGGTTCCAGCTCACGGCCAACATCAGTGACGATTCTCTGAACCGGTGCTGGGCGTCCCCTAGGTCGACTCAGCCTCAAATGAGTACCCGGTGCCTCCGGGCGTGGTGCTGGTCACCCATCCCCCTCGCGTGCCGTGCCGGCCTTCATAGGTGCCGCTCACTAAGAGCTCTTGCCCCAACAGTCTGTTACAGGCTACACGGGGGATCTTTGTCTTTGTGCGTTTGTGTGAGTGCAAGTTGAGGTTATGGACATGCATGTATTTATGTCTATTTATGTGTATTTAGTGTAAATGCGCGTGTGATTGTATCCGTGTGTGTGTACGTGCGTATTTAATTGTACATGTGGTGTGCACGTGTAGATGTGGGTTATTATAGGTCGACTCAGCCTTAAATGAGTGTGTACCTGGCGCGGTGTGTGTCAACATAGCCTCGCGTGCCGTTCACAGGTGCTACTCGCGAACAGCAATTGCCCCAACAGTCTGTTGAGGCTATACGGGGGAATTTTTATCTTTCTTACGTGAGTATACACAGCTGAGTATGTGTGTGAGTGTGCGTACAATGATGGGGAGTGGTGGCGCAGCGGTTAGCGCTACGCTGCGCTACGAACCTGGCGGCACGGGTTCGATTCCCGTTCACGGCCAACACCGGTGACTATTATCTCAACCGGTCCTGGGCCTCCCCTAGGTCGACTCAGCCTCAAATGGATACCTGGGTGCGGTGGTGCAGTAAACATCGTCACTGGGGGAGACAAAGGCGGCCGGGCGTGGTTGCTGGCCACCCACCCCCTCGTGTGCCGTGCCGGCCTTCGTAGGTGCTGCTCGCTAACAGCACTTGCCCCAACAGTCTGTTAAGGCTATGCGGGGTGGGGGGAATCTTTGTCTTTGTACGATATCGCACGTGTTCACGCGCCTGTACGCGTGAACACTACGCACCGTGTTCACCCCTAACCCATGTAACCGTTACGCGAGAGAGAGAGAGAGACAAAGGTGGCCTGGGAACCGTAACACAAAAAAATAACACAAACTCACTCACTTATATAAAAAAAATAAAAAAAATCTTACAACAAACCTCCTCCCTTCTCTCTCTCTCCATGGGGTCTCCTCTGTCCAACAACTCAAATCGAGCGGCTCAGGCGGGTGGGGGGATGTGGGGGTGGGGTGGGGGCGAGGGGGTGGGGGCGAGGGGGTGTTTATCAAAATAATAAGAGAAATAATTATCACAAACACAATGATGTTCACGGCACACCGCACCAGGTACTCATTTATGGCTGAGTCGACCTAGGGGAGAGGCTCGAGGACCGGTTCAGATAACACCCCCTGCCGGTACTTGGTGGCCATGAGCGGGAATCGAACTCGCACACAAAGACGAAGAACCCCCGTGTAGCCTTTAACAGACTGTTGGGGCAAGTGCTGTCAGCGAGCAGCACCTACGACAGGTCGGCACGGCACACGAGGGGGTGGGGTGGCCAGCAACCACGCCCGGCCGCCTTTGTCTCCCCTAGTGGCGATGTTTACGCAATGCACCCAGGTACTCATTTGAGGATGAGTCGATCCTCAACACACAGACACACACAGAGTATCTACATAGATAGCTACACACAGACACAGACTGACGCGCACACACCAATATATAATTATAATAACGATGACGATTATCATACTGTTCTGATTACGACGACGATGATGATGATGATGCCAATTATCTGGGTGTAATAACCGTGCACAAAAAAATAACCCGCGCTCCCTCCGCTTTCACAGCGGACAACTTGTTAAATAGCAAGAACACCCGTGGCCTCATTTGCCGGAGTTCGTTGCAACAATCTCACGGCGAAGTCGCTGCTCAGGCCCACGAACATCGCGAGGTCAAAAAACAAAACAAAAAATATTTGAAGACACTTACACCGCAAATACACGCGCGCGGTGTCCTCACGTCTCACGTCTTCATCGCCAGAGATCTCCAGAGATGAAGAGGGCAAAGATCCCACATCCAAGTGCCGGATTAAGCTCGTGCGCGGCCCGTAGCGAATGTTATGAAGGGGCCCTAAATATATATTTACAAAAAAATATTAAAACACACGCATTTTTTTTTTACTTGCGTAGTAAAGTAATTGTTTTCTTGTCATTTGCTATACAGCCAGACAATACGACAAATCGCTAACCTTAAGCACCCAGCCGTTCGCAAAAAGTCGGAGGGGGTATAGTACTATAGTAATAGAGCAAGTGCAGAATCACTGAACTGGAATTGATCGCTTGAAAGCGTTTGAAAGTGCGGTGTTATCCGGCACTGGTGTAACAGACTTGGGGGGGGGGGGGGGTAAGTGCCATTCGCGAGCGGCACGGTACGCGAGGGGGTTTGGCGGACAATCACCCCGCCCGGCCGCCTTTGTCTCCCCAGTGTCTGCTATTTAACATATACCCCCGCCACGGCCTTTACAGAGAGCGTGGGTGGCCAGCACCCCGCCCGATCGCCCGTCGTCTCCCCCCGTGGCGATGATTACACACCACACCAGGTACTCATTCGAGGCCGAGTCCACCTAAGAGATGCCCAGGCCTGGTTCCGATAATCACCACCGATGTTCGTGGCCGTGGGCGGGATTGGAACTCGGGCCACGTGGTTCGTGGTGTAGCGCGCTAACCGCTGCACCACCGCTCCCCCACCACCGCCGTAACAGACTGTTGAGGCAAGTGCTGTTAGCGAGGAGCACCTACGAAGGTCGGCACGGCCTTCAGTGATCACTCTCTGCAGTTGGTACTGCTGCTGCTGCTGCGTCATGGTGGCTACTACCGCCGCTGACACTCCGATGGTTTCATGCGTAGGACAACCACAACAACAACAACAACGACTTTGTCTTCCCCTTGCACCCCACGCTCTCCATTGAGAATGAGATTGTGGGGCAACTGAGCACCATTTGACGATGTGATTTGTTAATTTTGCAATGAAATATATATTTAAAAAAATTGTCATCTCCGTTGTTTCATTTCTCTCACCTTATAAACAAAACATATATATGTGTGTAAACTTCTTTGTCAACGCGATTTACTTCTCCCACCTAGCTTAAAAGACGCTACGAATCTTAGCAGCGTTCATTGAAGCGCTGTCGTCCCGACAGTTTTGTTCCTTCACCTGAAGAAGGCTACTTGTGTTGTGGCCGAAACGTCGTGAGAATTTTACTTTATTACGTTTTATTTGTATTACTTTGCTTCCATTCTACGTGACTTTCCCGAAAGAACCAAGAAGAGAAAAAATAAAACCCAACGATGGGCATGATCCTGACCTCTCTGTGTATACACCATGCACACTATCTTTGCTCTCCGTGATTATTCAAGAAGATATCTCGGTGGCTTGTTGTTTGTTTGTTAATATCATACATGCAAACGAAGACAATTGTCAACTTTTTTTGCTTCTCCGTAGGCCTTAGGCACGGCGTCTGCTGTGACCTACTGGGACAACGCGACCCTGACACCGGAGCAAACCGCGATGTGAAAGCAACCAGACCGACAGCCGGATGAAGCTAATGCAGGGCCCGTAGCGAATGTTATAAAGGGGCCCTGGAAATAGATGCATTAAAACACGCAACTTTTGTTTTTACTTGCGCAGTAAAGTAATTTTATTTTTTCATTTGCTATACAGCCACATAATACGAACGAATCGCTCATCTTAAACAACCCAGCCGTTCGTAAAAGTTGCAGGCGGTATAGTACTATAGTAATAGAGCCAGTGCAGAAGAATCACTGAGAGCTTGAAAGCGTTTCGCGCTGGGCCCTTGCAAGTGCGGAGTCCCCCGTAGCTGCTGCATATGTTGTAGCTACTTGTGCTACTCGGACAATCAGGCACTGACTTACAGCACCTGCAAAGCCCTCCCCCCCCCCCCCCCCCCCCCCCGGACCACCCAAGGTGGTCCCCCACCCATCTAGGCGCGGAACAGGCGAGACTCGTGCTTAGCCTCAGAGCTCCTCCCGCGATGCGCCGAATTTAGGGCGATCTGTTGGTCGGGTTCAAGTAAACAGAGGCAAAGATCCCCCGTCCCTCCCCCCCCCACAGGCCGGTATTGCCTTAGCGGACTGTTGGGGCAAGTGCTGTTGGCGAGCAAGCGCCTATGAAGGCCCGCACGGCACCACGAGGGGGTGGGTGAACAGCACCACAAAACCCGGCCACATTCGTCTCCCCCGGTGGGGATGTTTACGGCACACCGCACCGGCTACTCACTTGAGGCTGAGTCGACCTAGGGGAGGCCCAGGACCCATCCAGAAAACGGTTCACCGGGGTTGGCCGCGAGCGGGAATCGAACTCGGGTCGCCGGGTTCGGAGCGCAGCGTAGCGCTAACCGCTGCGCCACCGCTCCCCCCACACGCGCACGCTCATTGACGCGGCTTTGCGCAGTCGCATACACACACAGATACACAAAAACACACACAGGGCACGGATGTACTAACACACGCACACATACACGTGTTGTACGACACACACGCACACCGATCGCAAATTACACGTGTTGTACTACACACACACACCCATTGCACAGTTCACATGTTGTACTACACACGCGAGTGTGTGTCTTTGTGTGTGTTTGTATGTGCGTGCCTTTGTGTGTGAGCGCGTGTGTATTCGTGTGCCGACTCAGCCTCAAATGAGTGTGTCTAAAAATCATCGCCACTGGGGAGACAAAGGCGGCCGAGCGTGGTTGATGGCAACCCAACACCTCGTGTGCTTTGCCGGCCTTGATAGGTGCTCGCTAACAGCACTTGCCCCAACAATCTGCTAGAGGCGACACGGGGCATCTTTATCTTTCTTTCGTGCATGCGTGTGTGCGTGCGTGCGTGTGTGTGCGTGAGTGTGTGTGTGTGCGCGTGCGTACGTGTGTGTGTGTGCGGGCGTGCGTTTTTCGTGCGTGTGTGTGTGCGTGTGTGTGTGTGTGCGTGTGTGCGTGTGTGTGTGTGCGTGTGTGCGTGTGTGCGTGTGTGTGTGTGCGTGTGTGTCTGTGTGCGTGTGTGTGCGTGTGTGCGTGTGTGCGCGTGCGTGTGTGCGTGCGTGTGTGCGTGTGTGTGTGCGTGTGTGTGCGTGTGTGTGTGTGCGTGCGTACGTGTGTGCGTGTGTGTGTGTGTGCTCTACGCAATGAAAACGGTGACGTTATAGCGGAGCGGTGGCGCAGTTGGTAGCGCAACCGCGTGATGCGAAATTTCGGGTTTTTTTAAGTTGATCCAGGGGCTATGTTGAAGTTGATCCAGAGACTATATGGAAGTTTATCCAGGGGTGATATTCAAGTTGATCCAGGGGCCATATTGAAGTTGCTCCAGGGGCTATGTTGAAGTTGATCCAGGAGCTATATTGAAGTTGATCCAGGGGCTATGTTGAAGTTGATCCAGGGGCTATATTGAAGTTGATCCAGGGGCTATATTGAAGTTGATCCAGGAGCTAAATTGAAGTTGCTCCAGGAGCTAAATTGAAGTTGATCCAGGGGCTATGTTGAAGTTGATCCAGGGGCTATGTTGAAGTTGCTCCAGGGGCTATATTGAAGTTGATCCAGGGGCTATATTTAAGTTGCTACAGGGGCTATGTTGAAGTTGCTCCAGGGGCCATATTGAAGTTGATCCAGGGGCTATATTGAAGTTGCTCCAGGAGCTATATTGAAGTTGATCCAGGGGCTATGTTGAAGTTGATCCAGGAGCTATGTTGAAGTTGATCCAGGGGCTATATTGAAATTGATCCAGGGGCTGTAGTGAAGTTGATCCAGGGGCTATGTTGAAGTTGATCCAGGGGCTATATTTAAGTTGATCCAGGGGCTATATTGAAGTTGATCCAGGGGCTATATTGAAGTTGATCCAGGGGCTGTAGTGAAGTTGATCCAGGGGCTATGTTGAAGTTGATCCAGGGGCTATATTGAAGTTGATCCAGCGGCTATGTTGAAGTTGCTCCAGGGGTTATGTTGAAGTTGCTCCAGGGGCTATGTTGAAGTTGATCCAGAAGCTATATTGAAGTTGATCCAGGGGCTATATTGAATTTGATCCAGGAGCTATTTTGAAGTTGCTCCAGGAGCTATATTGAAGTTGATTCCAGGGACTATTTTGAAGTTGATCCAGGAGCTATTTTGAAGTTGATCCAGGGGCCATATTGAAGTTGCTCCATGGGCTATATTGAAGTTGATCCAGGGGCTGTAGTAAAGTTGATCCAGGGGCTATGTTGAAGTTGCTCCAGGGGCAATGTTGAAGTTGTTCCAGGGGCTAAATTGAAGTTGATCCAGGGGCTATGTTGAAGTTGCCCAAGGGGATATATTGAAGTTGCTCCAGGGGCTATATTGAAGTTGATCCAGGGCCTATATTGAAGTTGATACAGGGGCTATGTTGAAGTTGATTCCAGGGACTATATTGAAGTTGATCCAGGAGCTATATTGAAGTTGATCCAGGGGCCATATTGAAGTTGCTCCAGGGGCTATATTGAAGTTGATCCAGGGGCTTTAATAAAGTTGATCCAGGGGCTATATTGAAGTTGATCCAGGGGCTATGTTGAAGTTGATCCAGGGGCTATATTGAAGTTGATCCAGGAGATATATTAAAGTTGATCCAGGGGCTATGTTGAAGTTGATCCAGGGGCTATGTTGAAGCTGATCCAGGAGCTATGTTGAAGATGATCCAGGGGCTATATTGAAGTTGATCCAGAGGCAATATTGAAGTTGATCCAGGAGCTATATTGAAGTTGCTCCAGGAGCTAAATTGAAGTTGATCCAGGGGCTATGTTGAAGTTGATCCAGGGGCTATGTTGAAGTTGCTCCAGGGGCTATATTTAAGTTGATCCAGGGGCTATATTTAAGTTGCTACAGGGGCTATGTTGAAGTTGCTCCAGGGGCCATATTGAAGTTGA